AGCTTAGCAGTTTAATTTAACCAATCTCATTGTCATTTTATGGCTGTTCCATATGCTGTATGAAATAAATTGAAACAGTGCTTGTTAGAAATTGAAAGGAGTTAGAAGATGATCCTTCAACTTACTCATAGTAATCTTAGGCAATGGGAAATGATATATGGAGACAGCAACCCTCATTTTGATACTGTGCTTTTCAAAATAATGTTTTATCAGTATGACAGAGCTTACACTATCAGTTCCATTATAGTACTTGCTTTGTAACTGTTTGTCCATTGATGCAGCCACTTAAAAAGCAGTCTCTCCAAATGATTAGGTTATTCCTAAAAACTGTCACTAATTTAATAAATAAGAGCACAAAGGAGTTCTCAGACTGCGGCTATCTACAGTGGGAATACTTACTAAATGGTATCAACATGCTACTCCAGAAAAGCACTCCAGTGTGGACACAGATAACAGAAATTTGCTTAGTTTGTGAAAAAAACCCCAACCCTCACCTGTAAAAAGGAGACACTATTTCAGGGAAAAATTCCTTGTTCAGTAGTTTGGTGACTATTTTTTTCTGGTTTTTGTCTGAACAGTTCCACAGGTTCAAAGAAAGGTGGAATGATCTGTGGAAGAAAAATTGAGGGCTGTTAAATACTAGGACACTATCTGATTTAAGTCCTTGTGTCACAAACTTCTAGAGATGATGAAAATATTCTGAGAAATCTTAACATTTTTTTTCTCTTTTTTTTTTAATTCTTTGTTGGCATCTCGTAGTGACCACTGTCATAGACCTGGAGATGTTCCAACTGACCAGGAACAGCTATTCTGATGTAGTTCCAGTAGGCTAATTTCCAACAGAAGAATTAAACACCTTCTGACTAGGTTCAGCAATGTCCCAACATTGGTACCTGAGCACCTAAAACATTAATTGTATGCCTCGCCTTATCATTAAGGTATAGTGTTTCAGAGAATGTTTCAAAAAACATGCATATGGAGCATAGAACCGGTTAACAATAGTAAACTGGGAAAAAGCATTGAGTAGTGAAGTATGTCTGATTTACCTGTTGTACTCCAGATCTTGTATTCCTGATTTAGGTAGGTTTGCACACAGACATGATTGTATTTTTCCATTGACTGCACAAGATTTTAAGACAATTTACCCTCCTGTCGTACGTGTATAGTGTCAGTTGACATCATATGGGTTGATGCCTCAATTTGTTCAAAAAAAAGTACTCCACTGAACTTAATAAGATATATTTGCAGTTAAACCTGAATGAAAAAGGCTTATTGGGGCGGGGGGGGGGGGGGGGGATTTAGCACTTTATATAGTTTTTTGTAATTGTTCTTCGAAGGATAAAATTCATTAAATACATTAAGCACATTTTTCACATTAACATTATATATTTTGTTTGCAGTTTCTAAGCTTCAGCAAATTTCCTTTCTAAAAAAGGAAATCAAAGTCTCATTCTCCCTAAACTGATAGGAAATTACAAAGTTTTAAATACTAGCCCGCACAGTGAGAATAATTTTAATCCCATTTGGTAGAAGTATTTTGTTTAAAATGGTTCCTTTCTAAACCCAGATAATACACATTAAAATGCTTTTTTTTTTCCAGAGGTAACCAAATTCCTAAATATTTAATTTAATGATGTAATTCATGTGAAGGAATAAGTACCTATAATTAACCATGTTTTTGTAATACTAATTGTTGACAAAAATCTTAAAAGAAATAGCAATGCTTTTGAGACCATGTTTACCTACAGTATGCTGTAAGTAAACAGAATGAAAATAGTTTTATTCAATCAAAAACAGTTTTAGTCCTAATTCAATGTTTATTGTGATAAAAGGATTAAATAAAATTAACAGACTTATCATGATTTGTATCTGTAGGGAGGGCCACTGAAAGGTATCCACCTAATCCCTCTATCAGTGTTGGGACAAATTACCAAAATATCTGGTCTTGAGAACATCTGTAGCCGATTCATAGCTTGTAGTTTATTGGCTTGCACACAGATTCATATATCAAAAGATGAGTGTAAAAACTGGTTTGTAATTGAAGCAGATTGGCACACCCGAATGACAGTAGTCCCTTTTACAATGCACAATGCTGTAATCTATTGGGTATGTTTGAATGAGACACATCAGCACACTGCAATAAAAGCCTTTGATAGTGTCCCAGGAGTCAAGGTCTATGAACAAGGCATTTAGTTTCATAGTCCTGAGAACAGGTTTCACAAGTTAAAAAGATGCATGCCAATCTTTTGTCAAGTTTAGAATTGGTATTCATGGCTGGGCTATCCCATCAGGAACCTGAGTGGGCCATGGGGGTCCTTTGTGCTCCTGATAAGGTCCTTTGATGATGGGAAGATACTTGTTTCAGTGCACTTCATTTTGAACTCAGTCATGCTCAGGAAAGTCTTAAGAGTTTTGTATCAATTTTGTAGAAGTGTTTTACAGGCCACCCATATATTTATAGGTTTTAGAAGTTTTTATATATTTTAGCATTAGTTGTAGTTACTGAATTTGGTTTTCTGAAGATAATGCAGCTATAAAATGTGGTGACTTCATTTTGATAGAGTAGATACACTTTGAATGTTTTACCTCATGTCTTTTAAACATAAAACAAATTACCCATAATTCTTAATGAATACAATTAAATATGGGAAAATAGGCTGTTCAAAATGACCTATTTATTTTGATGAAATTTTTTTTAGAAGTTGTATAGTCATAGTTCTGGAAACAATTTATGTATGTTTTTTCTGACATTCAAAATGCTACTCTTTTTCTGCACTTAGATTGTTATGATCGTCCTTGCATTCTATAATTGTAGTTGTTGCAGTTTTCATATACAGCTTGTTATTATTTAGTACTGTATTTTAAAGAAACAAAAGGCACAAAGTGAAACCTATCATAGGTGGTATATCTTGATGGCATTCTGGGAAAAAATACACTTCTCTCTGTTATGCTTGTTGTAGGTAACTTAAAAATAAAAGGAAAATGCAGACTACTGCTTATCTCTAAACTTAATTTAATGTGATCATTTGCTTATTTTTTTCCACTGTTCTTTTAAAATGTCAGTTCAAACTAACAGACTCAGTTCCCAAAGGTACAGATGACACTGATATACTTTATTGCTGTTGATCAGAATGCGACAGCTCGTAGGAATTTAGGGTGCATTGCATAACATCTGTAAAAGAATAAAATGCAAATCACTCGATAAAGGAGAAAATCCAGTAGAAAATCAAATAAATACTTCTTCCACATCCTGAAGACAGTACTGCAGACAGAATTAAATGGCAAAGTACAGTCAGTGGGTGATATTCAGAATGGCCTTTCATCACTTATTTCTTGTTACAAATTTATATGGGTTAGTAATGTTTTAAGATTTTTTTAAAATTCATATTTGAAGAAGATTATATTTTTAATAAAAATAGTTACCTCCCCAAAGGTGATATTTCATAGAAAATTAATCTTTCCATACAGAGAAGATATGCAGAAAAAAAAAGAAAAACTTTATTCAATGTTACTAATTAAAAAAAAATAATTTTCCCTTTTTTTTTTTTATAAACTGGGGGTCTTTAATTTAGTATTTTTTCACAGCTTGTAATACACTGAAAGATTGTATTTGTTTTCCAGTTTCTTTTCTTCCCTCTCCTCTTGTTCTCCTTTTCTCTTCTTCCTGTCCTCTTTTCTAATCTTCTTCTTTTCTCTTCTTTTGCCAAAACTACTCAAGTTTGAAAATGTTAGAGAGCAGCTAAAGAAAAACAGCCATACTTTATATCTATAAAATAAAGAGGCAAGTGGCAGTATAATAGGCAAGTTTGTTTTTTGGTTAATATCATAAAAATAGAAAGTAATATGATCAAAAGTATCTGACACTGAAATACCTGTAAAGAGCTGAGTCTTATCAAATCCAGTAACTCTGTAGAGATAGGAAGAACTAAATTTTAATTTGTGTTAAACCTCGCATCCCTTATCAGCTGTAAGAACATAAATGGAATAACTAATATACTCCAAAATAAAATTCAGATATTAGGGAGAATCACTTTGCACTTCAATAAACCAAAACTGGCATCAGTCATATTGTTGCCTCTGTTTGTATTAAATTTAGATCTGCCTAGATCTAGTCAATACTAATTTTCTAACTGAAACTATATAAAATATTAAGCATTGCTTTTTAAAAAAAGTAGTTCTGAAATACTGAAAAGGTGTTTATGTAGGAAAAGCTATAGAATTAGAATGTTTCTGGATTTTTCTTTTTTTTTTTATGTAGTTGTCCGCACAAATAGAAATAAAATAATTTTGGATATTCAGTTGTTCTTGTGATTTTTGCAACTGAAATCCCTGTAATAACCATACCAGCCACACCTGGTTTCGTAACAGGATTATCATTCTAAATGAGTGTTAAGGAGTGGATCTGCTCCTTGAAAACAAACTCTGTTTTCTTTCAAGTATTCTAATGACAAAAACAAGAAAGAAAAGATCTGCTTTCTCAGCACAACTGACTGTAAAATTCTTTTCAGCATTTTCTGTGATGTCAATGGGTCTTTAAGAAGTCATTAATATATGTTATATATTATAAAACAACTGCTGATTGCTAAAGGAGCAAAATGACACATTCACCTTTGAATATGGTAGTTGATTCAGTTTATATTCTCTGCTTTAGCTAATTAAGCACCGTGGACCAGATCTTAGGTTGGATGATGTCTTATTCACTAACTACTTTATTAAAAAGTACAAGATTGTTTGAGAATTGAGGCAGTACTTACTCTTACTGAGGATGGTACAATCTGGCCTGAAGGAAATTTATTTTAGCTCTAGCTTGACTATATTTAAATGTTAATCCTGCAAATTCAGGCCTCATTTTGTGAGAGTAATTTAATCTATGAAGAAGGCGGCCTAGTGTTACATTAATATGAAGTAGTTTTTCTTTTTGAAATATGGAATATATAAAATGCTTTTATCTCCAAGTTATGAAAAAAAAATCCTGTGATTTTTGGTTTTGATTTTTTTAGCATAGAACAGTGTCTTAAAGACCTGCAATCAGAAGTAAATGAAATATGTACCGATGAAATACTACAAAGCACAACTGACTGCCTTCAGTGGCTAAACAACTGCAGTTTTACTTCTCTCAGACCTTCTTCCACACACCACGGAGAGCTGATGGAGTTCCTTAGGAGCCTGGTAAATATTGTTTACTAAAGACTTTAATGTTTGGGAAAGTTGGTTATATGATGGGGGGGAGGGGTTTGAGGTTAATTAGTTTTCTCATTTCAGTCTTCACTGGGTGAGGATAGTTCAGAAATTTTATTATAAGGCTTAGTACGGTTTTTATGTCTGCAGCAGGGTGTTATGTTTCCTTTTGATCATGCCTTAAATAGACAAACTTGGGACAAAGTCTTTTCACTGATACTACCACATGTTCAGCACTGCTAGGACTGTTCTGTAAACACACATTGGTAAAAAACATCTGATGTTACTGTCTACACCAAGGCTGTTACTGTGACTGGTTGTTCTTCACGTCCATCACTATGAATTTAACTAATCTAATACAGGTTATTGTCCTTTATGCATTATTTAAGCATTAGTTTCTTATCTACTTTTTCTAATTAGAAATGTGGGAGCTACTTCGATTGTCCCAGCAATTTGTACAACCAGACATAACCAGAAATCAAATTTCACTTCAGTGAAAAATTCCATCATTTTAGAAGGCGTTTTAATCCAAAATTCTTATTGACAGTTAACCTTAGAATATATGTGTGGAAGTGGAAGTCTGGAAAATTGAATTGGCTAGATGAGTGAAGGATGATACCTCAGGAGATGACAGCCTGCAAGTTTATATATAAACAATGTATATGTGTGTTTATATGTTTGAGTGTCAGGACAAATAAACAGTATCCAGTGGATTGTTCTTTGTCACTTCCATGTCATGGTTTAGTTGTAGGACATGGACACCTTTAGGCTAAGATTGGATATATTGGCAAAGGAAAACTTCTGTGGAGAAGTAGAGTATTTTGTCCTTTGGGACTATCTCCTGGCTAGAGCTCAAGCTTCATCAAATCGCCTCTCAGTTTTTAACTCTTAAAACTGGCTGTTGATCTTTCAGTCACACTTGAGTCCACTGGATATTAAGCTGTGTCAAATGAGGAAGTCACCTCTAGAAACACCAGGTCTTTAATGTTCATGTGGTGAAGAAGTGATGTTGTCCCTTCTAACACAGGTGATCACTATGCATGTTGCTGTTAATAATCACCCCACTCAAGGGTGTCAGAGACTGCTATGTCATAATTGATCTAGACAAAATGCAAGAAGCCCCAAAAATGCTGACTTACAAAGTCTTTTGTTATTCCTCTTAGTCCAGTTAGATCCTTACTTAAACTCCCTCAGAAGAGGGCATGTCCATGATGACTTACTTGCGTCCATTCCCTGCTTTCTTCCTTCTCCGGGGTCTATTCAAGCGATATACCTGAACACCAGGTGGCGGCATTTGTTTGGGAAACACCAAAATATCCCCATCTCTGGAATACTTCGGGTATATCTTATACAAAATGTGCTTTCCATCTCTTCAGCTACCCAGGAGCACACTGACTGCATGATGGTCTGGCTGTGGGCTGCAGAATCCAGTTAAGCCTTGAGAATGGCTCTGTGGCAGGCTGCTAAACAGACAGCAAAGTGTGAGAAGCCTTAAAGTCTCAATTCTGCACAGCTTATCAGGAAAACATCTGTGGAGCTCAGGAGCTGGGACATCACACTTTCCAGGCTCATGACTTTTTAGATAATCCAGCCTGTTGTGTAGATGAGACTACAGATGAAAAGTGTATATGGATTAGCATAGATAATCCATCTGTAAAAAGTTATACTCGCAGTAGATAATCTTTAGCTCCATAAACAGATCTGCAGTAAACTATTTTCAATAATATTCAACATTAATGCAATTATTACAATCTGACCTTTCTTAAATGTCTATCTCCATCCATTGAACTAATTAGTCAGTTGACTTAACTTCTCACTTGCAAGCTTTTAATTAAATATCAAATAATACATCTTCAATAACTAACATTCCTTCTACTTCAGGACAATATCCCTATTCATTGTTACCCCTTATTATGTGTGTTTATTTTGTTAGGTATTTTGTTTATCTTTTAAGTTGCTGGAACAATTAAAAAAAATAGTGCAAAGTCCTGTTATGTGCTTTGGCTGAGGTGCTGTGTTTAGGTTTATGGTTAGCGTATTCACATGTATTTGTGAACTCCCATGGAAATACTGAGAGGTTCTTCATGAAGCCTGAAAATGTTAATTACTTGAAATTTCATCATTCTCTGTACTGTTTTGTATTTCTAAATATTTAAAAGCTGAATATGTACATGAACACATCTTCATTAAATTCTGTTCCTGTTAAACTAATGACAAAATCTTTTTTTTAACAAAATATTTATCTTATGGGATTTGTTTATTGATATGATGGGTCGTAGTCTGTAGTAGGTAGTAGTCCAGTTGGTAGACCAGAAATGTTTTCCTGTGTATTATTTTCACTAACTTCCTGTGCTCATAAGAGAATTTTTCATGCTCCTCTAAAACCTTTGGATACTAATTTGGATCCTTTTCTCTTGAATAGTTTTGGCATCATCTTTTGAAGTATTTTTACAGATTAATTTTCAAATAGAAAAGCCTATGTCAATATAGGCAATGTTCAAAGAGACTTGATGACACTGTGTTTTCAGAGCTTCAAAGTTCACTTCAGGGGCTCTTTTTCTGAGTAACACTAAGTCTAAGATGGCATCTGGAAGCTCCCTATTTTTAATGCTTTACTTTAAGTTGCAAAGGGCTTGAAACAATACTTAGATTCTTGCCTGCTTTCATGAATAAAAATGTTTCTGCTTAACCTTAAAAAACAGCAGTAGGGATTTGCTTGGAAGACATTTTGGATTCATCATCCAAAGGCATCAGTTACATTCACTGTTTTGACAGCTTCTCTTGTTTTGTTCTTTTCAGAATATAGTATTTGAGCATGGTTCATAAAAAAAAATTAACCTTTAAACTCCAGAAGTCTACATGTGGAGACCTGACACTTCAACACAGTGGTTAGTGATTAGGATTTCAGTTTACACACTGAGACACATTCTCTTTGGGGACACAAACTTTCTAGAATACTTCAGTAGATAATACAAGAAAATCAAATCAGCCTTATGTATATGCATATTGATATGTATGATTTAAGATTTTAACTAGGTATACGTACTGCTATCAAGTGCACATGCTTTTATAGAATGATACTTGACTGATAATTTCCTTTATTATTCTGTCTTCCACATGTATTTCCTGCTTGTAATTAAAAAAATTCACAGCAAACATTCTGAAATAAAGATGTAAAATGGAAGAAAAATAGCTAGTTTGTTATTTTTTAAGACTTTCCTTTATGGGAGGCAATCATGCACTCTGTCTTTTGTTCAGAATTAGCTACTGTGATGCAAGTCTTTTATTTTTCATCACAGAGCACTCCAGAGTAAAGGGCAATAGGAAAGTTAAGGTCTTGTTTTCTCCCATAAGAGTGCAATAGTTCTGAGTCATCCAGAACAAAGAATAGTAGTTTCAATATTGAAAATTTTTGTCACTCAAAAGCATGAAAGAAAAAAAAAAAGCAAGCCAACTGAAGTTTTTGTTCTAAAGTTTGTCTTTTTTATATTTTTATAAATTATCTACTGATGAAAGCTTCCTACAGTAGAAAAATGGAACATTTTGTATTGGAAGTTATTATATTTAAGCAATACCATACTCAAATTTGACTTATTTCTCTCTCTTTCAAAATGGGAAAAGAAATAAAACCGATCATTTCCTCAAATACTTCAGGTTAAATAAATCATTAGTTCTGAAGGTGGAAGGTTGCCTACAGTTTCTTTACCAGCCTTGCTTTACAGGATGGAGTACAGCTGGGAGACCCAGAAAGGACATGAGTGGAAAGAACTACCCTTATGTGATTTGCCACAACACTTTTCTCTGCTGGAGAGAAGCAATAGGAGGTGGGGGAGCAAGTGGGAGGGCGTCTAGATCCTGATTCACCTAAGGCTTGCCTACTTAGTTCCTGAAACCCAGAAAATCAACATTACCACCAATTTCACTCAGTTTTCTTGTTACTATGATAGGAAAATCTGTAGTCAGCTTTAGTGCAGCTGTAGGATTGAGAGCAGGTCTTCACAAGGAAAAAGCTGAAGGGCCTGGGACTGTGGCCAAAGCCAACTTGCAGTAAGAAAAATGTTGAGGATGTGGAAAGTGGGTTTGTAACAGGCAAGTTTTTTCCTCTGAGAAAGGAAGGAGAGTTTGGTGTTCAGTGACCATGGGACTTTGGGGTTGTCTTCTACTCATATGTCGGACACCTTAATGCAAACAATTCATCTCATACATACTAAGGACAACTGCAGAGTGGTGTTTAAATTTATGTCATTCTGGGCCAGGTAGAAAGGATTGAGCTGTGACAAGAGGACCTGCTATTTGCTGCATAGCCTCTTGGACTTGAAGCAGCTCTACGGTCAGAGATCTTGGCCCTGGACCAAGAGGGGAGCTCTTCAGGCTCAGATGAAGTACAAGCAGCACGTGCATTCATGTGGTTTCATCTCCTTTATTAACTGGCTTCCTTCTCCTTCTCCAACACATATAGCTGAGATGTATTTAGAGGTTGCTATATTGTTAATGTATCGGTCTGCATCTTGGTTTGACAGGATACACAGCTGCTTATTCTTCTGCCCTGTGTGATCTAAGCCTGTTCAATTCTTAACAAGTTTTCAATTTTAGCTCTTTAAGGGCATCCTGGGAAGATTATTTTATTCTTAGAATGGCCTTTTTGATGGTTGCCTACTGAGCCAGAACATAGAAAGCAAGTGTTTAATTTTATAAATTCTTGTCTTGGTTTTGTGAGCAAAACCTGTCATTATCTGTGTAAATCTTGAGTAATTTTTCATACCGTTTTGTTTCAAAGATGTGTGTGTGGACCAGAACAGACAGGCTGCCAAGGCTTACCTAATGAGCTTTCCAAAGCTTTCCTTTGAATTGAGGATTAGAATTGATTGAGAAAAGAGGTTGAGGATCTAAGAAAGATGGGAAGAGGAATATGAGTTATTGGAGCAGGTAGACAAGGAGATGGATTGCCACATAAATCCGTGGGAAGACAGGCTTTGTTATTTCTGTTGTTTGTATTTCTCTCTTATTTGCTGGTAAGATAATTAGCATTGGAAACAATTGGTACTCTAGCATGAAGCTATTCATTTTATGAACCAGAATTTACAAAACATTTCTAAAATACTGTCTGATTTACTTTTGTTAGCAAAGCTTGCTGAAGAATGAGCAAAATCAAGAAGAAATGATACTTCACTTCCTTCTGGATCTCTCTAGTCAGTGTGGTGTGTCATTTCCCTGTACTCCAAGTGGAACGTCTTTTGACTTAACATCTTCCCTTCATGCCATTGAGGATGATTCAACTATGGATGTGAAATCTCTCTGGGATGATGTGAGATTGCATCTTCGACGATTTTTAGTAAATAGACTGCAAAGTCAAGAAGAAACAAATACTAATGCTGTACAACAACAAATGGAGTTTAAAACTCAGTGCATACAGCAACTTCTGTTTCTTTATCCTGAATCAGAAGTTTTAACAAAGTATCAGAATATGCAGAATAGACTGGTTAGCGATCTTCTACAGAACTGTATTTTGTCTAGTTGTGGTGAAACAAATTTTGATAAGGTGGTTCATGGTTACCAAAGCTCTGTACCCACATTATGCACAATGATAAAAGAGGATTTGTATATACTAAGTGGAACTATTGATCCTTCTTCATCATTGAAGTTTATTAATGAAACTTACCTGGATACCATCACTGAAGAAATGACAGTTCTTCTTGAAAGACTTTGTGAGCTGCAGTTCAAAGAAAATGCTCTACATATAGTTAAAGCAAACAAGATTTCAAAGAAGCATAGAGGAACAGTTCATGCTGTGGGTTAGTAGCATTTTATGTTCACTGTAGCTAGATATTATTTTAATTATACTACTTGTTTTTTAATATACTTGATTATTTCCTGTGAAGAGAGACACCTGAGATTATTAATTACGCCTTTATGTTTTAATGATATTACTGCACTTGAATTGCAGACTGCGTCAGAATTGTGATGAAAAAGGTTTTAAGGTAAGGGAGAGTATCTTATGCTTATGTATATAGAAACCCCATTATAATTCCCTGGATAACATTGTCATGTCATAGTCTTTTTTTTAGTCTAACTTATTTCAACTGCTGAAATATATAATAGTGAAAGTCCATACAATAATGTAACCATGAAATAGACACAGATTCATACATCAGAGCTGACCCAAAAGATTACTATGCAGGTTCTAATTATAAAAAAAACAACCAAAACATTTAAGTTTTCTAGTCTTGTGAAAGTACAGTAAGTTAGAGTTAATGCTACCTGGTCATTTCTTCTTCTAAGGATTTTGAGGAAGGAGAGGAATCTGTTAATTGATGTGGTGTTTTCTGTACTTTCTTCTTACTGTTGGTGAATCTGACATGCTAATTTTCAAAGGGAGGAATCAGAGCTTTAGGAAAAAATCATACAGAATGGAAACTTTCATAATATAATTTCATGATTGTTTGTAATTGTTTTTTCAATGCAGAGTTTTGAGCACTCCTCTGTGCAAGAGCTGTTTGTTTAAAACATAGCCTTCCATAAAGGTGAAGTAGTTTGCAGACAGGAAGTATTAAAAGTTTAGAATCATGAAAAATACAGAAACAGAAGACAGATCCTTGGGTTGTACAATATACACAAAGGATGAGTGAGGTGATGATTTGCCAGGTCTATGCAGATGAAAATCATGCTCATAATTGTGAGTGAGTTTTAAAATCAATATACATGTTAATGTAAGTCAACTAGAAATTCCACTGGAAGAAATGCAGAAATAATTTTTCAACAGGAGCTGAAATATGGAGATATATGTGGAACATAAGAAAAATAAGGTAAGGGAAAAGGCATGCAGACAAATAATGTGAAAGGATGAGAAGTCCAACATAAAGCTGATCTATTAGTGGGACAGAGTGTTGGTGGGAAACAAGGAGTAGTAGTCTCAGAGTAATATTAGGTTATGGTAATGTTGAGTTACGAAATAGATGACAAGAAATGTATCTTGTTACATTGAGTTACATAGTGATATGGGAATCAGTGAAAGGATTCAGTGACAAAAAAATGACTGGTAGTGGAAGTTTGTAACTTCATTTTTCTTTCAGTCTCAAATGAGCTCACAAAGATGGGGAAGTTCAGTTATCTCCATTTTACATCTAAGACATGGAGATTAAAGTTACCATAAGGGTGGCTCTTTAAAAAAACCCCCACACATTAACTGCTTCTATATTACAAGAAGGAAGAGAACAGTCCTTCAAGCTATTAAGATAGTAAATCCTCTGCTTAAATTTTCTTTGCTACAAGATGTGTCTTTACATGTTTTTTTGCCAGCATGTCTATCAGGACAGATTTCCAGTGCATAGTTCTGTTGTATATTCAGAAGAACAAAGATGAAAATATACAAAGTAAATCTTGGGACCTGCTTGCAATTTTTAAAACATTTGGTGCAATTAATTAAAAAAACAAAGCAAAACAAAACAAAACCCAACAAACCTCTGTATTTCATAAATCCCATGGAAGATTTTTGTTTTGATTCAAAATGTATTAAAGGTCAGATGTGCAGGCGCAGCAGCTGTCCCCTTAGCACGCATAAAATGTGTTTAGAAGTGGTGTTTGTTAATATCATTTAATCTTCAAAATTACTTTCTTCACAGTGGCTGTCATGCTTATGTTTTCATCTCTTCACTGTGCAGTACTTCATATTCTTTTACTTCAAGAGTTTGGTATGGGAGGCAAGCATTGATTCCCCTGCAGTCTTTTCTGCAGAATCAGACTGTTCTAGGTGATCTGTGGTTATAGACTGCAGGCAGCCAAACAATAAAGCAACAGTTGTGAAGTCAGCAGGCTAGAGCAAAATCAGGGTCAGAGTTATGAAGTTACATAGGATTTTTTTTTTTTTTTCATTTTGTGGACATGTCGTAGCCTGTTGTTTGGTATTATTAATCAACTCAAGCAAAATTTATACTTGTATCACTACCAAAACAATTATTATTGAAAAATTTATTGTATGTGAGCTCATATGTGAAGAGCTCTTCTTTTTTCTGGAAGGAGATTTCTCTCATCTAAATGTTTGAATACATTACATTTGTACCACACTAGGTCAGAAAAGGGCACTTTTCCTTTGTAATTAAAGTGTTCACAGGGCAGTTCACACTGAAATTACTATTTTGGAAAAAATTCTACAGACTAACTATTTTGGGAAGTTTGTAATGGTAGACAAGTTCTTAGTGTCAAGTGGCTTTTCCTGCTTGGAACTCTTACTAAATTCTGATGATACCTTTGCTGCCTTCCCACAATTGAGAGTGGAAGTCTGTATTTATACATAGGTTAAGTTAAAAGACAACTTTAATGGATTGCCTTGACAGTGATACTCAGTTTTCTGAGTATGAAAAAAAACATGCTGGAGTATGGAGGGAAGGAGTGAAAGGGAAAGAGATTTTTTTTCTTACCAGTGTGTTTCTTATTTTGTGATGCATGTTGCCTCTGCCCTCTCCAAACGAGCACCAAACCAGTACATTTCAGAACAGCAAAATAATTTAATCTGAGGCATTCAATTGGGATTGTTATCTGAGAGCTGAAAAAAAGGGGTTGTGTTTACTTAGTCCACTCTCAGGGAAATGTGGTTTTTGGTTTGTTGGGGTTTGGGTTTTGGGGGTTTTTTTTTGTGTGGGGTTTTTTTTTCATAAGAACTGCTGTAGTTGATCATACTATATAGGAGAGGAAAAAATAACAGAAAATAGTGAACAATGCTAGAACCTCAGAAAACTTTCTATAGATGACCTACTTCTGTCAGAAAAATATAGGTAATCTATAACAAGCTTTAACAGAGTTATAAATCTTTAAAATATTTCATATGTAACAATCTATTTATGAAGTAAGGAATTAACATTTTTGTTTTCATACTGTATTAGAACAGTTATTTGTCAAGTACTGTAATGAAATTGTATCCATTTATCAGGACTGAGGATGAGCATGGTTTGAGAGAGAAGCTGGCAAAATGGTACGTGAAAAGAGGCACATTCTTTGGAACTTGGCATCTTTGATTGCCAACTCTAGTGGAGGCAGGTGGTTTTATGTTATAACTTGATCCAGACAGCTGGTTTTCAGCTTCTCTCTTATGATTTTTTGCTTCAATTTCCAATGTGATATTTCTCAGAAATTATTTGCAGTAAGCCTATTAAATGTGGATTGTACTTTTACCCTTTGAACCTTTTTCGTGTTCCTTTGTTTACAAAAATGTTAAGCTAGTTTAATCGGGCATTACTAACTTATCTTAATCCTTCATCTCTTTTAGATTAAGCAACAGCTAGTCTTACAAGTGATAAGACATCAGCCAAAGAAACTTAAAAACCATGAAATTATACACATTTTATGTATTAGTGGAAGGTTTTCTTTGGTTTTAATAATATATACTTTTTTATGTATATACAGAGAGAATGTAAATGTGTAGAACAATTAGCGTATTTTTTAATTTCCTGTGGTTAAAACTAAGGAGAGATAAAAGCTTTGAGTTTTATTTTTTGTGACATATTCAAATTCATTGGCTTAATATTTTCATTTAGTCACAAACTTGCCAGAGACCCTTAAATAGGCTCTCAAATCTAATGGCATCTGCCAATAAAATACACTTTTAGTGTATTTATATAATTAATAACTTAAAAAATCTTAAATTAAATTTGTTCATAAAATCTGAGGCAATATATAGTGTGTTCATCAAAATCAGTAGTTGATTATTTTTAGGAAAATATCCTTGCAAAGTGTAGGTAAACTGAAGTGATGCAGATTTGACTTAGTACATTTTTAGCTACAGAGTAATTAAATCACCTTCACTGATTTGTTTTAATATTCATATTTTACACTTATATATAATTATTATACCCAGTGTACCATCTTCTTATTTACGAGTCCAGCAGGCTTCCTGTCTCTTTTCTTTCTCCAGAATATGACCAGCTTCCATTCTATTTGAAAGATATATTTAAATACAAACTGTGATTTAAATTATGATGTTTTTAATTTATTATCTTTAATTATTCATGAGTTCCTAATAAATATATTGTGTTTATGGAACACCTAAGGTGAATATGGCATACATCTAAACTTGAATAGAAGGACTCAATATTGTTTAGAAGAGCTGCATTTGCGCAGTAGAGTTGAGAGCAGGAGGAGAAACAGGCTTTGAAGTAACTTGATGAAATGAAGGTAACTTTGGGACATTAAATGAAAGTACTTGGTAAGGAAAATCTATTTTGAGGTTACTTATACTTACGTATTCCCAGCAATTTGCTGTCCAGCTAACCTGAAATACAAGTTTTGGGTTTTGCACATTTGACTTAAATTTGATTTCTTCTCTACATTCATGTGCACATGACTTTATTTTCTGTAATTTATCATTTCCTCCCTTTGAAATAAAGAACCTTAGTTTCAGACTTGCTTTTATCCTTCCACTTAATTTAAATTCAGTTGGTTTGTGATCTCTTGAGCCACGATTATTGCCTACAACCAATCTTCTATGATCTTCATCTTATCTATCAAAAATATGCCTAAAATAGCATTGATACCTGCTGTTTTAGTGACTGCGTGAGGAAAAAACCAGTTATTCATGCCTGGGAATAATTAGGACTCAATAACTTTAGTGTAATTTATGCTTCCATTTATATCTGGAAATTAAAGAATTCCAGACTTGGTTTCATGTAATTAATATTTATGTCTTTGCACCTTTTTCTGAGATTTCTGTCCAGATTACAATCTATAGCAGATAATTTACAGTATTTATGTTGTAGTTACAATAGCTTTTCCATCGTGTTTTCTTATCTGTAGTCCATTGTTGAAATC